GATGTGACTAGGGCTGCAACGATTACTCGATTCATCGATGACTAATCGATTATTAAAATAATCGATGACTAATTTAATAATCAATTAATCTGGTTTTTTTTTTTGTTCTTCACTTGGTTTTTCTCTCCAAACTGTTTTGACACCTTCCACTGCCACATCTGTGGTAACTGGGGTAGGCCGTGGACGTCACAAGACATTATACAGACAGGCTCTGGTATCATGGCTACCCAGCAACGGAGCTCAAAAGTGTGGGATCATTTTAAGAAAAATGAAAGAGAAACTTATGCAATATCTGCAGAGCAGAACTTGTCTTCCACAGCAATTATTTTTAGTTGGCATATAGCTAAAATCTAACCATGGTTATATAATAGCAGCTGCATTCTGGCGCAATAAGATGTATGTTTTATATTRAATTAACGTATGATCRGATTAGTCAACTAATCGAAAAAATAATCGGTGATTAAATGATTATAAAAATAATCGTTTGCGGCAGCCSTAGATGTGACAACATGGAGTCATCTGATTAAAAGGTGCAGCCAAGAAAGGCTTTCAGTAAACACTCCATGTGATTGTTGATTCTGCTTTAACAGCCCATAAATGACCCCCTGTAAACCTGGCRGAGTTTTATGGAGAGAAGATACAATAAAATCATACGACTGAAGTAATTAGTTTAAAAGTACAAAAGAACTTTGCCTTGGTCCTTTTTTTTTCTCCCACAAACTTGACCTCTCTGCTGGGATCTTGGGAAGCGAGAGAGAGCGGATCCTCTTTGAGGAGCTCCTCCAAACGACTTCAATTTAAATTCCAACAAAAGCATGGTGGACGGACGAGAACGCTGCCCTGCATCCAGCCAAATGCAGGAAGCATTTCACCACGACTGCAGCTGGTCAATTACCACAGCTTTTGCAATGATCASAGTCATCACTGCTCTTATGGAGGGGGTAAAAAAGGCATGAAAAAGAGTCGTCTGAAACTGCAGTAAATAATGGGACACTGGTGAGTTGAGTGGAGAGGGAGCTAATAAGGCAGTCTGGCCTGTTGACTGCTGCTCATCCTTGAAAATACACCCAAGCTGCAATGGTTGCTGACCTGATGGCTCATCTGCAAGTTAAAAAAGCTCTGCGCACTGCCAGCCTCATCATATTCATGTGCAAACAAGCAGACTAACAGCAGGTGCCACGGCACATCTCCCCCCCCTTCAAACTGCTCTTTTATCCCGTTAAGCACTTGGCCTATTCAAAAAATACACAAAAACGTATGGAGATGGCTGTAAGTGG